GTAGTAGTAGTAGTAGTAGTAGTAGTAGTAGTAGTAGTAGTAGTAGTAGTAGTTGTTGTAGTTGTAGTAGTAGTAGTACTAATAGTTGTAGTAATATTCATGACAAAAATGAAAATACATTGAATTTATAAAAATCTATGGAGCTCTATCCTATACAGGTACACGTATCAGCTCTGTGCTTTACATCGACAACATGGTTACTGAGAGTATGTATAATGTACTATAAGATGAGGTGCGATAAGATAAAACAATGTAGGAAAAGATCCGATGTGATAAGATAGCAAATGTATGTTAATATGTAATGTGATAAGTTACGATAATGTAGGATAAGATTCTATGTCATATGATAAAGTAATGTATGTTAATATGCAATGTGATAAGTTACGATAATGTAGGATAATATTATATGTCATATGATAAAGTAATGTATGTTAATATGCGAAGTGATAAAATAAGGTAATGTGGAGTGATAAGGTAGGGTAATGTTTGTTAATTTGCGATGTGATAAGATAACGTAAAGCATATTTATATGTGATGCGGTAAGATAAGGTAATTTAGGATAACGTTAGATGTGATAAGATAAGATAATGTATGTTAATAATGTGATGTTAAAAGATAAGATAACGTACGACGAAGTTCGATGTGATAAGATAAGTTAAAGTAAAATAAGATCCGATGTGGTAAGGTAAGGTAATGTATGTTAACCCATTCACTGCCAGGCCTGCTCTGTAACTCCAGCAATACGTTGTAGACAATGTAAGACCAGGCAGTGAAGCGGTTAATATGTGATATTATAAGAAAACGTAATGTATGTTTTAATATGTTATATTATAAGAAAAAAAAAAGAGCCCGATCGTGAAAAATAGAGACATCTCAAGGTACACCAAAAGGAAAGTTCAGAAATGCTATGTGTGGTCAACCCTTCTATATGGCTGTGAATGCTGGACAATCGCTAAAGGCAGTGAAAGTAAAATAGGAGCAACAGAAATGTGGTTTCTTAGGAGACTGCTAAGAGTATCGTGGGAGATAGAGAAATCAAACGAGGTTGTGCTTGATGAAGCCCACACGGAACGCTAAATATAAAAAACAATCAGGAAACGACAAATGCAGTTTTGGGACACCTAAATAGAT